GTCTCTTCAATACATGTACACAGTACATGGATATCTAATAGAGCACTAGTACATATACTCATAATAAAATTAACCGGCAAATCTACTACAATAACAAAGTGGGCTGCTTTAAGAAATCTCTTGGTGCTGCTCTGCATGAAAGGATGCCCAGCTGCAACATGAATAATGCCCTTGTATAATGTCACATATGTTTTGATCCAATGACAAGCACTATGAACCAACCTGTTCTCCCAAGCATCTTGAAAGTAAGGCAGGAAATGTCATAATTAGGAATCTTGAGTTAAACCTAGGCATATGACACCTGTGAAAGTCAAGAAGGCAACAAAAAATTGAAAAGCCAACTACTTCATATTATTTTTCACTTTATTACTTTTATTTATAGATGTAAGAGGACCCAAATCTATTAGGAAGCCATTGAGGTAAATGATTTTCTTAAGTGGGAGCTTGTCATGAAAGAAGGGTGGAGTTTATTTATAAAAATAACACATGGGCATTGACAAAGCAGCTTAATGACAATATGATGTATCGAAATAAATGGATATACAAAGTGGAGATAAAAGACATAGGAACTAAAAAGGAAAAGGCTAAGCTTGTTAAACTGAAGATATTTTCCACATAGTTAAACTGAAGCTAATTTAATTAGTAGTTGGAATTTTGCTTTCTCTCCCATTCAGTTACATAGAAGTATTAGTTTGATGCATATCTTGCATATAAGATGGAAGATGTCTGGAGCAATCTTTTTTATTTGCTCTCTTTTCTTGGTCCAACTTCTTTTTCTTATGATTGGAGGTCAAGTTCTCTTCAGCGACATAGAGATAGGGCCTTTAAGGTGTTTTTCATTAGTAGCACATAACAAAATTCTGTTGCATGTCTTATCAATAGAAGGAAGAACTTTGCAACAATCTCTATTATTGGCTTCCTCTTTCCTAAATCCACTCCTTTTTTTTTTGCTATAGTTGAAGCTCATGTCCTCTCACTATTTAACATCAACTATAACATATGCAGTCTACTTCATTATATACAACAGAGTGGATGCATTTTCCGTAATGTGGTTAACTCTAAATCATCTCTATGTATGAAGAGAAATCCATGATGTACCTACCATTTGAATACTAGATCTTTATCTTACCATGGATGTAATGGTTCTCATCAAATTGTGTAAAGATATCTCTTATGTTTGTGACTCTGTTTCTCATCTTATTTTTGTTTGTTTTATATTTGACGTTTTATTATTATCTTGTAAAAAAAAGTTTTTTTATTACCCTAATATTCCTTTACTTTTATGATAATTTCCTAGTGAAGTATGGGCATCTTTTCCATTTCTATATTAGCATAGAAATTGAGTTTTTGTCCTTTACAATGTTTATGGAATAGTTCTAGAGGGGTATTTTATTGCATGATTTATATGATATTGTTCCACTTGGTGACAGAAAAAAATTAACAAAGCCAATAAAAAGGGGAAAATATGGAGTAAGCTTCAGAATACAAGAAGCTGTGTTGTTAAGAAAATATCATAATGAGGTTTGAAACATGGGTGATAACATAATGTTAGGTGGCCAATAATAATAATGATAAAGCATTTACTTAAATGAGTAGAGTTTGGAACCTTAGATCTACTTAATGAAGGAATGCATGCATTTATGAATCTCAACCTTGTTAATTATGAGACAGTCATTTAAGATGTAGTAGAGCCACCCAAGCACCAAAAAAATATCATTCAAAATTAAACTATTTTACCTTTGAAGTTTATTTATCATGGAGTTATGGAGTTTTGCAATAGCAAATATGTGATTGTAAAGTGAATTTTTATACCTAACGATAATGTTCTATGGCTCTTAGAAGGTATTTTGTAAGTAAATTTAGCAGGTAGTTTTTTGTGGAATAAAGAACGAAAACATGAGAGGTTGAAAATGTTTGAAAGAGGATAGACATTGTTCGACGGCTGTCCTGGTTGAAAACAACAAAGAAAACTCCGATAGGCGATGTTCGGGCGGCAAAGCGTTTCACAATCTATTCTTAAGCAAGATATAGACACATCACTTGCAAACAAAAATGATATAGCAGTCCTTATATAATAAACTGGAGAACACAATATCTCAAAACACCAAAAACATAGCTCGCAATTCAAACATAGATATAACTCCCCTCAAATATTGAGCTATGATGTTCTCTTCTAGTTCTACTAGCTCGTAATTCAATATGAACTGCTCGAACTCAGCTGTGTACTCATTTACTGAGAGGTTTTTTTAGTTTTAAATGGTGATGTTTTAAGAGCACATCGTGTGTCTAATGTTCTGCTAGATTCTTCGGCTGCATCTCTCATTTCATCTTAGATCATGTTGTGATTTTGCTTTTCCCTTCACATTGACATTAATGTTCAAGTTTTCTCACCATAGAGATACACTCTTCTTTAACTTAATGGCCACTAACGTTACCATTTTATCTGGTGGAATGTTCTTGTACCCAATGACACGTTCCATTATTTGAAGCTACTCGATGAATTCGGCTGGATCCTTGCGACCATTAAAATCCTGTAAATCATTTTCACTCCAACATCATGGCTTCTCCTTGGATATTGAAAGCCAAGTCAACATGACATTTATTATTCGTTATTGAAAACTTTCAGATAGAAGGTATTTATTTCCTTCCCTTGATTAACCTGTAAAGCAGTGAGAGGAGACACTCCGTTGTGACTACGAGCGACCTCTCTGGATTTTCTCTTCTCAAAAGTGACAAGCTTTTGTGGCAGTTGAAGAATTTTTTTGTTGCATACCTTCTTTAGTAAGCTTTTGGACATCTTTTTGTAAATTTCTTATAGGCAGCTTTGTGATCTTTTCTCCTGATCAAGCTTTTGACGGGTGTAGAGTTGTAGATAAAAAATTGGTTGAAATTTAAGATTTTGTCTGTTGGTGTCAGGGTGGAATTTTGGCGGAGGTAGGAAGATTGAATTTTAATGATTTTAATGTTGGGCCTAGGAATTACGGTAAGAATAATTTGGGTTTAGTGGATTTTTTTTTTCTTTTTTTTTTTGGAATTTCAAATTGAGACAAGAACGACAAAATCGTAAAACTTCAAGGTTTGCCAAACTCTAATACTAGATGATTCTGTTCTAGGGCTCTTAGAAGTTATTTTGTAACTCTATTTAAATGAGAGGTAGTTTTGGAATAGCGAGGGAATAAAGATATGCCATGTCCATGGCGTTTCGAAGGGGATAAGCATCGTTCAGTGGCTATTCCGGTTGAAAAAAGTTAAGGGAACTCCAAATCAGCGACATTCGAGCGGTGATGTTGTTCCGCCACCTATTTCCAAGCAAGATACATACACAACACCTGCAAAAAGAAAGATTACAATACTCCTTAGATAATAAATCAGAGAATAAAATCTCTCAAAATTCTAATATAAAGCTATCTAAACTTAAAACAACAAAATAAAATCAGAGAATAAAATCTCTCAAAATTCTAACATAAAGCTATCTAAACTTAAAACAACAAAATACCCACCTAAATCTCCTCATAGAAAATAACTAAAATTAGGAAAAAAAAAAGAAATAAGAAAAAATAAAAAAAGGAAAAGAATAAAAAAATTTGGAATGTGAGTCATTTTGAGCGAAATCATGTCTGTGATTATGGGACTTCATGATTACGAAAGATTGCAATATATCACAATCACGTTCCTATATCTTGGAATGGTTACAGCTTGTGTCACCTAAAGTTTTAAAGATGATTTGGCACCTTGGTAACACGTGGCGTGATCAATGCGCATGCCCTTATTCTTGATCTTTATATAAAATCTATGTGCTAAGGTTAAGTGAAAATGTGTTATATGACAAATTGAGCTTGCTAAAAAGCATGAAACTCAGCTTGAAAATCGCTTGAAATTTCTTTTGAATTAATGTTAGCTCAAGCCAAATTTGACCTTGAGCTCTTTTCAAACTTGAAATTAATTTTTGAGCCAGTTTTGCATTTGCTTCAACTAATTGAAATATTGTTGGAATTGACTTGAAAGCTGGTTTTGAAAGGTATTTATATAAAATTTAAATATATGTTATTTTTAACATAATGTATGTATAATATAATATATAGTATAATATCTATACTAGACTTAATTGAATATCAAATTGACTTAACTCAAAGTTGAATCATTTTGGTTTGAGTTGTATTGATTTGAAATGATTTAATTTCAAGTTAAGTTCAAGCTGAGTTTTGTTTTAGATTTTGGATTGAGCCTAACTTGTTCAAACCCGACTTGTATAATCTTATCATGTAGAAAGAAATTTAAAATAGTACTCCATAATAGTAAGATCATAAAATAAGATTTTTTTTTTACTAGAGCAATAAAAATACTATTGATCTGTTTTCAAGGAGCTGAATCAAATGGATATCGCTTGTATTATGTTAGTGATGAGGCTTTCTGTCATCATCTTCTGAACTGGGAGGTTTGCATACTTGCAATGGAGAGTATAGAATGACTTCCGAGGAGAGGTGCTTGAATTTTTTTGTAAGGCACTGGAACGAATAGAATTGCAAAATGTCTTATTTTTATATAAGTTCCACCATCGTACATTCAATATTTTCTGACATAGTTAGTCCTTTCTTTATTATTTTAAGCGACATCTCATTTTTGTAAGGCCAATATTGTTTATGCTGCTTTAGCAATTTTAGACTAATATAATCCCTTGTAAATGGGAACAATTTGGGGTGCATGGAAGCCAAAGTTGGAGACCATCTTCTCAAGTTGACTTGGACCTGATATCTAATATAAATTGTGATTAATTTTGTAAATTAAACAAGTTAAATTTTTGTTGCTGCTAATTGTAAAGACCTTTTGTCTATTTTTTCTGGTTTGCGTTACCATAATTGATTTCATTTCTTTGGTCATTTGGAACTTTTTTGTCAGTTTCTTGAAATTCTTTATATTTAAATATATACTTTATTTTTATTTGAACTTAGTAGATAGCTGAAGGAATCACTCATAGGTTTAAAATCTGTTTCGTTGAATAGGTAGTCAACATGGACTGTCTTTGATAGTTGAGCTCAAAGAGCAGGAGCACGTTTTGAAACATTGTATTGAGCAACTTGGGCAAGTTGAAGCTACCAGGGCTTCCCTAGCTGCTCAGTTGAAGGAAGCCCTGCAAGAGCAGGTGTCTATTTTGAATTGATAAGTAATGTTTGTCTCTCTTGATTTTACGATCCTTACAGATAATAAATCTTTTTCATGTTATAGGAATCAAAATTGGATCTTATACGCAGTCAATTACAGGTAAGTGCATCTTTCTCTGTACTTTCTTGACTAGAATACGCATTATCTTTTATGGGCTGGATTCCATGTAAAATAGTCATATTTATTATCTTCTAGTATCTTTACTGTTTTCATAATTTGGCATAAATTTATGTCATCAATAGTCATCTTTGGCATTGTTGACTGAGTTTCGATTCCTCGTTTAATTAAAATATTGACCTACAAATTGTATTATGCTTATGCATGATAAACCTAAAAGAATAATTTTCTATAAAAGCGACTTGATTACTGTTCAATGTATTTTTAGTTAAAAAATTTCATGTACTTTGCCATCTGATGCATGTCTACTCTTGCAATAAAAATTGGGGAAGGTGAATATTGTGCGGTAATAATCAATACGTGGTGCTGCTAATATGAATTAGATTTCTTTGGTTCTGACAATGAGTATTTAGGAAATTGCCATGCTTTATTTTTACAATTTAGATCTAGAGTTCTTTGCTGTATGGTTGATGTATAATTTGGAGGTGTTAGAGAGGTTGTTGGATGGGTACGAGAGTTGGAGGATGAATAGTGGGTGAAAATTAATGTAAATTGTGGCTGGACAGCGAACCGAAAGTTGGAAAACAACAGTTTTCTGCTGTAAAAAGATGGTGGCGAGTGTGACAGCTGCCTCGCTCAAAACATCGAGCAACCGACAAATCAACAGGGTGACGACGGCAACGGAGATCAACCACTAATAAATCAACAGGGTGAGGATGACATGGAGATCAACCACAAATTCTTGAGCCAGATACAAATATATGACTTGCAATGGGATGATGATAAAACACTTCAAAAAGCATAAAATGTCTCAACTCGGAATTTGGAGTTTACCATGACGGGAACAGACGGTCAGATGGTGAAAATCAATTCATTGCTATTCTAATTTTATCTCTAACAATTTTAATATTCAAATAAATACATAAAAGAGCTACTAAAGAAAGCAACTAAAATTAACTAGTAGAAATTTATACTTTTCCGTTTGTTGTTCTCACCTCCTATATATATTTGCTTATTTCCTATTCATTTTGTTCAAATATTTAAAACCTAAAAATAATATTAAAGTAACATACAGAGATAACCCAGGAGTAATCACACTTTTAAATTAATGTAATGTAAGAAACATAATTCAATATGCATGCAAGTCTAAAAGAAACTTATAATATGCTAGTCTTTCATATTTTTATAAGTAATTAGATATATACTAATGCATGCATCAATAATCTTTTTCTAAATTAACCTGCATTATTCTTCTATATGAATTTGTCTTAACTTTTCTTTTACTTTATACTATTTACATACATTTATGTCTCTGTGAAGATCACCGTCAACAAAACCTTATACACCCTTGGCCGATATTGCCCGGTTAGCTCTTGTCGGCACAGTGGTTAGCGATCTATATATTACAATTGTCTAGGATAAAAAAACCCTTATATGTCCCTGACCGATATTCTTCAGTCAACACAACATTTAATATTGGTAAACATCACAACGGTTATTGAACCATCACAATTATCTGGGTTGGTAGAAATACTCTATGCGCTGTGTTTCACGGACATCCTTTGCCTATACTATTAGGGGTTAAAATCCTCTTCTGAACATGCACATATAAATATTCATATATAAGTTATTTCATCTTTCTTACATTATTTTAAAACATTTGAATGCAATATACTAACATGAATATTTCTCTGTTATGTAACTATTCATCATTTATATCTTTTACATCATTCATATATATATATATATATCATGTATATTCTTTACTTATATCATGCATATCTTTTCTGTATACCTATCTTACATATCTATCTTACATATAATGTCAATTTTAATATCAGTCATCTCATGCATATCTTTCATGCATGCACAACTTTTCTTATTATTCTTATCATGTATATTTTTCATTTCTAACAACATGAAGAATCTGATTAAACCAAGACATTTATAGAGTCAAAAATACAATTTGAAATAAAGAAAATTATTGAAATTTAGAAGTATAATTACTCACCTCAGTTGTCATGCCAATATCTTCATCTTCGATAGCTAGCTGGAAGTTGCGGTGACTTATGTTTTGACCTTAATAACCTTTAAAACATAATATTAAATTTTAAGATTTAAACAATTTCTTTTAATCGATTCAATCTTCTTAAATGAGCGTAAGTTTAATTTACCTGAATTTAGGGGGTCGCTTTACCGTGAATTTCCATACTCGCCTAAGGCTGCCGCCCCAGACAAATAGCTTGGAATTCGCAGTTAAGTTCAGATTCAAAGATATTTTTGCTCATAAAGTAATTAAACCCAAAAAATAACATTCCTACATCAAAATAGGCTCTCGACGCAAATCCTTTTTTCTAAAATTGCCAAATTTACTTTATATCACCTCCAACCGAACCTCTCCTATGCTAATATCCTGCTGGCACCTTTATGGAAACTTACAAAAGACTTTTGACGCTTCTAACACGCAATCGGCATTTCCAACGGCTACTGTATATGAAAATTGCATGAAAACAAGCCAAAATCAAGACCGAAGGGTGAGGAAGGAAAATGAATGCTTAGAATTGCAAGAAAGTGAAATTCTTACTGTTGGATTTCACAGCAGAACCCCAGATCGCAAGCTGTGACTAGCCAAGTGTCGCTCGATTCACGCTACCCGCGACTGTTTGCGCCCTTGCTCCAACCTTGCTATAGGGGGTTGAACGAGCTTCCTTTGCCTAGGCAAAAGTGGTTGAAGAAAAGGGGAAAAAATCTAAGCTTAACCACCCTAGTCGACCGATTGAATGGAATAAAAGGTGTGAGAAACGTCGGTTGGCTACAGTGATGCTGCCGAATTATTGTAGGAATTAAATTTAATTAATTTAATAAAACTTGTAACTTTCAAGTTTTATATTTCTAAATCCGATCATAAATTACATACAGTGTTTTTTATTAAATTGCTCGATTTAACGTTTAGAATTTTATAAAAATGTTTCAATTGAACTTCGGAGGATCCGAAATTTGAGATATATTTTATGTCTTCAAAATTTTATCAAATTTCTCAGAAATAGTTATTACAATTTGCCCTCATTATAAAATTTCTTTCTCGAAATTCATGAACATAAATTATGAAAAATGAAGCAAACGTGATTACAAAAATCTTATTCTTGTGAATTGATAACTAAAACATGTGATAAACTGTTCATATGATGAATCCAACATAACCCTCAAAAGACAATTCATCCATCAAATTATGTATCAACATCAATGACAATAGACTCTTCTGATCCTGGAGAGTCAAGGAATAAACTCTTGGGCGAATGTTCTGCCTTTGTTGCTACTTACGAGCTACTGTATCAGCTTCTGTCATCCTCTGCTGACCACTTCTCGAAATAGATCATTTCTGAAAACTCTTCATCATTTCTGAAAACTCTTCTGAGCTGGATCCCTTCCTGAATGAACTTCTAATGTAGATCTCTGAATAAAAATTAGGATAGTTTCTCCTCTGATGTCCAGGCTATCTACATAAGTATCACATCATCAACCCAAGTAAACATTCATCAAGATGTTGCTTCCCACATATAACACAGGGTTGTATAGCGCTACTGCCAGTCTGACTAATAACTCCAATTGTGTTGGACTTTATCTGCTTCCCACTAGACTCTCCTTCTGAATGAACTGTTGGTGTTACTTCTTATCAACTCTTCCTCATATGCAAATTCCTATGTCGTGAGTCTATTTGAAATCAATTTCCACTCGTCTGCCAAACATGTGTCAGATAAGGACAAGTCTCCAACACGCCCCAAGGCGCATCTCAGACATTGAAATTCATGCTTGAATTTTTTACCAAAATTGAAGTCAAATAATGTGAGGACATTCCTTGACACAATCAAGTCATACTCGAGCACGATCAAGATATACTTTCAGGCAACCGAGATATGCAATATGATAAAGTGTATTTTTTTATAAGCTAACATAACAAACAATATTTTTATTTAAGATGCTAAAAATATTATTGAAAAGAGTACTACTATTAGTATGATGATGATGGTCAAGCTCTAAACTATGTTGTGTTAACTCGTAGTCAGCATGTGTCTTTTTTTTTAAATTTTGTGTAGACAATATTATGTTGATGTTTCTAAAATTATGCTTAATGAATAATAATAATTTTGATTTACTGTTGATATTTTGTACACTAGATAAAAATAAACTAAATAAAATCTGAAACATTTATAATTAAACACATGGTTTTTACAAGTCCTTAAAAAGTTTGTGATACATATGATTTTATATTATGCATTATAATATTTTTTAAAAAGGAAATAAAAATTAAGCATTTTGATTACGCCTTTTATATCAATAAATTATAATAAACTATCATGCCAATGATACGCATGTTCAAATTTTTAGTTATGTTGTGTTATGGTCTCCAAGTTAAGTTGTCTTCATATTCGTCAATGTTGGTCAATCAAAATAACTAGATTATTTTTGTTAACCTCTTCAAATATCTCACTAAATTAGGTAACTAGGAGACCTTCCCAACTATGAGCATCACCTATGTTAACACCAGAGGCATCATAAGATAATTCATATACCTTAAACTCAAGTAGTCTCAAAACTACCGTGCAATCGTCAATCTCATTAGGATAGTGCATGCATTAGATAATCCAAAGGCATAGCAGGCTATTCATACCACTAGATTTATTGAATGTATTTTTCCAATCATCACAAGGATGAATCAAAATATAATGGTATCTTTTGTATAAATCAATCGTTAAGAACTTCATTGACTTAGATATCAATTTTGTTGATTCCAAGACTAAGAACACACATTCCAAGAATCATCTTTCTTTGATGTCATCAGTATGAGGACATCACATAGAAAAAAAATTTCCTCATAAAAATCTCACACTAATACATAATCAAATGTTTGAGCTCAATATGTTTAATGGTGCTCATCATATGGTTTTGTAAATTTAGTAGCTATGAACACGTTATGAAAGTTA